GAAGGACCTACTGATACTGGGTCACAATGTTTGGCAAGATACAAATCTGGGAGGAAGGCAGCAGTCCTATCAGGAAGAGGAAATAAGTTCTTCCTTCACTTAGCAGAAGTGGGGAGAAAAGAGAGAGGTGGAGAGGCAGTATGCAGCAGAGGAAGCAAGGCTTAAGAGGAAGATGAAATGAGCGGTTAAGAAACATGCATAAGGGTTGGGATTGTGGCTTAGTGATAGAACACCGCCTAGCATGTGTGAGGCAAGGGGTTCGATCCTCAGTACCATATATAAATAAATAAAATGAAGTCTATTGATAACTAAAAAAAATATTAAAAAGAAAAAAGATGCATAAGCTGGGTGATGTGGCATAAACCTACAATCCTCAAAACTCAAGAGGCTCAGGCAGGAGGATTTCAAGTTCGATACGAAATTCTGCAACATAGTGAGGTCCTAAACAACTTAGGGAGACCCTGTCTCAAAATAAAAAATAAAAAGGGCTGGGGATGTGGCTCAGGAGTTGAGCACCCCTGGGCTAAATCACTAGTACATGCTCCCCCCCACACACAAAAAAAACACGCATAAGAAAATGAGTCACTACTCTTGTTGTCAGTTATATGACAGCCAAAAAGTAAGCCTGTACAGTCCCCTAGTGACAGAAAATGGTATTGAGAAGATTATTTAGACATCTCAGTGAGATGCCTTGAAGTGAGGAGAGAAGAGAGAATTAGAATAAGCAGCAGTGTCCCAGGTGTAGTGGGCATGCCTGTAATTCCCGCAGCTTGGGAGGCTGAGGCAGGAGGAGCACAAATTCAAAGCCAAATGAACAAACAAAAATAAGCAGCAGTAAGATTATATATCTACTGAATAATTTACAAAAAAACTTTCTTCCAGCAACATAAAGTTCCTATTTCAATAATGTATTCAAGGGCTGGGGATGTGGCTCAAGCAGTAGCGCGCTCGCCTGGCATGCGTGCGGCCCGGGTTCGATCCTTAGCACCACATACCAACAAAGATGTTGTGTCCGCCGAGAACTGAAAAATAAATATTAAAAAATTCTCTCTCTCTCTCTCACTCTCTCTTAAAAAAAATAAATTAAAAAAAATAATGTATTCAAAAATACATGAGCCTATATAGATCTGATGGTATCAATATTATTAATCTCCTACTTGATCCCAAGGACCAAGTGCTCAAGTAAGTGGATATTAAGTTTCAAACAGTTTATGATTTAGTTTAAGGCAGGCTTGGTGATGAAGACCTGTAATCCCAGATACTCAGGAGGCTGAGGCAGAAGGATCTCAAATTCAGGGTCAGCCAATTTAGGGAGATCCTCTTTTGAAATAAAGTAAAAAGGGATGAAGATGTAGCTCAGTGATACAATGCATGTCTAGTATGAACAAGACCCTAAGAGTTTGATCCCCAGTACTTTAAAAAAAAAAAAAATTAAGTCAAATTCAACAGATCTACCTTGGATCACTCTTTCTCTAAGATTTCAATTAGCTACATAATATTAAAGGAAGCAAAAAGTGGAAGAGTTTGTTTCTTTTGTGGTAGGAAACAGGGGTAACATAAGTATGTGTATGAGGAGGAAAAGGAAAGATAAGAGATGTAGAAAAGTACACAATATGCAAATACCATACGGTGAAATTTAACAACAGAGACAAATTCTAATCTCATCTCTCTCAATGAAACCAACCATCTAAATTATAGATTACTTCTCTGATGAGCGGAACCTTTCAATAATTCAGTAAGTACATACATCTGAGACATTGTGTATGATACAGACTGCCAAAGTACAACCAGTCAACAGAGGTCCACAAAAGAAAATCTTTTTTGGTAGGTAATAATTGCTGCTATACTTCTTTTTTTTGTTTTATTTTTGTTTTGGTTCCAGTGCTGAGGATGGGACATATGGCCTCACGTAAGTTTAGACAAGCACTCTACCACTGAGCTATACCCTAGTACCACCAAGACAAATAGCTAAGACAGAGTTTGTTTGTGGTCAGAAGGCTGCAGTTCTCTAGGAAATATGGAAGCAAAAAATAAATGCTCAGTGTGGTTTATGAGATGAGAAAGTAAAACTAATCATAATTCTATATTCTTTGAGAAAGTCCTAAAATGATACAAATTTCAAGGAGAATAGTTTAAGACTCAATAGGAACAGTAGGTTAAATCTTAGCACCTGCAAGAGGGCTAAAGGAATCAGAAAAGATAGCAAATTATAAAGTATAAAGAACACTGACCTGGGGAAAATGAACTGAATCCTGGTTCTAACTCCTCCTCCAGGTGAGTTTGCAATCTCTGCAAACCTGAATGCTATCTTTCCTTCACTTTATTTTTGCAGCATTGGGGATTGAACCTAGGGCCTCACACATGCTAGGTAAATGCTCTACCACTGAGCTAATACCTCAGCCCTTTTAAAGTTCTGAGACAGATGTCCCTAAATAAATTGCCAGTTTGGCCTTAAATTTACAATCACTCTGCATAGGCCTTGCAATTATCTGTGATTACAGGCATGTGTCACCTGATAGCTATAAGATATTTCTAAGATTTAGTTTACAGTCTGTACACTGTAACAGTTTACAACTATTATATGAAATTATTTACTTCTAGAAACTAGGTAGGGATTTGAGAAATAAGAAAATGTAGAAAAAAACTAATTTTTCTAATATTTTGGGTAAGTTTTTAAAATTACATTCAAAAGAGTGGTTTCTATTACCTATATAGAACACCAGTACAAAAAAGAGGAATTAGTAACTCGTCAATTAAAATTATTAACTACGGTAGCAGATTTTAAAAGGTACTAAAATAGCTAGACTGTTTGTTTCTAGGGTTAAATCTTCCTAAGTGCAAAGATGAAACAAAGTGTCTGTCCTTATTAGCCAAGAAATATACTAGAATGCTTTTAGCTCTGTATTCCTATCTACCATTATTCCCTTGACACTGGAGCACCATAGAAACATTCAGATAGAATTCCCACAGAAAAAAGATCCTTTCCAGCAGCTCTGTCAGGGGATATATGTCCTTAGCCATCTGCGGGAACCCTTTGGAATCTGAAGAGATACATAAATGTATATAAAATGAGGTGTTTATAAGCAACAATTATATTACTAATAACAAAGGGGAATTACCACATTTATGTGAAAAGCAAATCATCTTTTCTGATGACAATGAACTTTACTTTCCTGTCTTGAATTCTTTATTTTCCTTTATAGTCACTGCATTTCCTTTCTAGTTTTTTTTTTTTTTTTTTTTAAGCACCTCTATACAGATTTTGAGGAAAAGAATACCTGGATCTAGTTTACTCCTAACAGAGACAAATGTGCCTCCACCCCATGAATACTATTACAATGTCTATATTCTTTTTTTTTTTTAATATTTATTTTTTAGTTTTCGGCGGACACAACATCTTTGTTTGTATGTGGTGCTGAGGATGGAACCTGGGCCGCACGCATGCCAGGCAAGCACGCTAGCGCTTGAGCCACATCCCCAGCCCAATGTCTATATTCTTAAAAAACTGCAACATAAGTTTCTGAGGGACCTACAAAAAGCACTTAGATCTTTGGGTTTCATTTGCTTCAACTAAAAAGCATCTATATTTTGCAATCGAACGTCTGGTAGAGCATTTTTGATAATAAAAGATAAATAATATGAATAAATAGATGAATGACTAGCTTCATATAAGTAAATTTTCAAAAAAGATTTTTTGTGTCAGAAATAGGCAAATTAAGGGCTGGGGCTGGGGCTCAGTGGTAGATCGCTCGCCTTGCAAGTGTGAGGCACTGAGTTTGAGCCTCAGCACCACATAAAAAATAATAAAATAAAACTATTATGTTCATCTGCAACTAAAAAAAATCTTTAAAAAAAGAAAGAGGCAAATTAAAGTACTAATAAAAAGCAGATATTAATCTTTCAAAGAATAACAGATTGTTGGGTCTGAAACATATTCCCATTCTAGAAAGGGCACTACTGCATTACAGTCATTTCTGCTGTGGATAAAGGTAAAACGGACAGAAGACGTCAAAGTGTCACTTTCATTACTTGATACCTATGTAAAAAGTCGTCTTCTTTCCTGGAGCCTGAACAGGTTTGATCAAAATTACACACAGCTATAAATCCACATTATAAAATCACCACATCAAATCCTCGGTGAATATCTTCATTTTACCCAACAGATACAATCTACCACTCAAAGAAAGGTGAAATCACTTTTACCAAGAGCACATGACTGGACGAACTATGTTGTGATTTTTCTAAACTCACTTAGAAGTTGGCTCAACACAGATGTCTTCTAATGAACCCTATGGCTCCCATCCCTTCAAGACGACTGACCACTCCTCCTTACAGCTGAGGCCTCCAAGGCCCAGATACTGCAGCTCGCTTGACACCTTCCCGTACTTCGGAAGCCTCGGGCTTCACCACACCCTATCCCAACTAGATTTCTTCTATCATACCAACAAATAAAACGTCCATGAGCTGACAAATCAGGGGCCTAACCTCGTTTTCCTCAACTCAGAAGCTAAAGTGTCCTCACAAATTTTGAGTCTCATGAACTCACTCCTTTTGCTTGGAACGTCTGGTGCTTGCGGTGACCCTCGGCTTCCACTTCCCCAACTAGCTCGGGCTCTCCTAGCCATTTCCAGTTATCCATGTCAGGGTCTCTGCCGGACTCACACTCAACCTGTTTCCTGTAGGAGCGGTGGAGGTCAGCAGAAGGCCCACAAGATCCCCCAAGAAAACACTGGGACCTAAACTTGCAGGGGCCCAGCGTTTCCCTCAACCCTCAACTCTTTCACTTGCCCACGCCTCAAATTCCCGGTCTCAACTCAGGCTCCACGACCACTTCAGCCAAGCTCCGAGCATCTCCGCCGCGGCCCCGGCTTCTCCAGCTTCCGGGCTTTCTCTTCAGTTCTGCTTCCGGCCCTCGGTCTTTGGCCCCGCGGCTTCCCGGGCCTGCGCGCCCCCGGCCCACCCTCGGGCCGTCCCCAGCCCTCCACGCCTCGGGCTCTCACCGCTCGAAGAGCAGCCTCACGGAGAAGAGGCCCGCCGCTAGCGGGAACACCGAGAGGATGTGTCGGGCGCGCGGGTAGCCGTAGCCGTCTCCCGGACCTTCCAGATCGGCCCAGCTCACATTCTGAGGCAACCAGAAGCGCTCACTCCACAGCCAGCCCCACAGAAGGCCCAGGGCTCCCGCCGCCGCAGACGCCATCTTACGCCTGCCCCGCGGCCACCGCCGCCACAGCCTTAGCTACCGCCACTGCCAACGGAACCCGCGGAGAGGCGGTCCTGGGGCGGGCCCAGCCGGCGGCCACCCCCTTCCGGCCCCTTCTTGTCCTCTACCCCGCCCAGCCTAACTCCTTCGCAGAGCAGGGCCTTTTCTCCGCCCATCTCGCCTCCCCGCCCACCTACCTCTCCACTGCCGGCTGGGGCACTCTCCCAGGGTCCTTGCCCGCCGGCCCTGGCCACGCCCACAATGCCCACGCCCATTCGCGCCTTTGCAGCCCCGGCTCCACCCACCACAGGCCCCTTAACTCTGGCCCCGCCTCTTATCGCGGCCGGTCTGAGTCCAGCGTCCCTCACCAAGGCAAGCACGGCCACACCCCTTATTACCGGCTTAGTTTCCTTATGGGGACATTTCTCTTTCCGAGTCCAGCCGATACAAGTCCATTCCCGCTCCCAGCCAGGATATACCTGTGTCTCCACTCCCAGGGTCCCTCCGGCCAGGGCTTATTTTGCCATCTCATCGGTCCCACCTACTCTTAATTCTCAACCACAAGCATTGTTTTTACTCCCAATCTCTTCTTCACTTCGTGCCCCTCCAAGATCTCCATCCCTTTTCACTACTTGAAAGTTATCGTCTCTTTTCCTCCGGAAAAAAAAATGGACTTTAAATAGTTATTTTATTCTTCTCATTGGGGAAAGGGAATAGAAGAAAAGCCGTGTGGAAATCGAGAAGTCCAGAGGAAAAATATAAAAGCAAAGAGAAATATGGACGGAGGGAATACATAAACTCAGAGATCCAGCACGCGCTTAGCATGAGGCAGGCTCCAGGTTCAATCACCAGCGCCCCTCCAAAAAGGCAGTATTTAATGAGGTTTTACTATGTGCCAGGTACTGCACGGTACGTTTTACACAGGAGTTTCACACACTGGAGTAGATATTGTTATCCCCAGTATTTTATGGAGGAGGAAACTGAAGGCCAACAGCTTGTTCAAGGTTATATAGATAAGAAGTGGTAATGAGAAAGTCTTTAGACTCCAGAACCTTGAACCTTTATCCTATAAACTGCATTAATTTTAGGTTTTCACAGTGAACATTGAACTCTGCATAAATCTACACAAAAGAGGGGAGAAATAGACTAGTCCTCTCCAAAAGACTCAATTGTCCCTCAAGTACCTTAGAACCCTAATTCGGTCTATTAAAAACCTGGCTTCATGGTTAAATTGCCAGAGGTTAAATAGAATGATGGGGTGGGGGGCATTAAGCGAATCAAATCTCTCTTATCTGGGAACAGATAAAGTAACTTTATAGCTAGTAAGGCATGCTTACAGCAGAATAACTTTGGCCCTGCCTCTGATCTGGGTTCCCAAAGGAGAGGAAGGGGGGCACGGGGCGGGGAAAAGCCATTCCAAGGAGTAGACTAGAAGATTTGCTTTTTTTCAGTTTCTCAAACTCTAACATGTATCAACTCAAATATTAGCTTTCTCATATCCCACACGGAGGGAATTTTTTTCTCTGAGCCCCAGCCAGAGATTCTGAGTTCAGAAGGTTGGGAGTAGAGCTCATGAATTTGCATTTCTTTCCTTTTGGGGTGGGGGGTGTCTAGGATTGAACCCAGGGCCTCAAGCATGATGTATGGCTTAGCTACATCCCCAGCCCTGATTTCTCCTAACAAATTAATAGGTGATGCCATTGCTTCTGCTCTGCGTACCTCCACCTAAAGCCCTTTTCACCCAAACCTAGCAATAATTTAATGGTAACTACCTTATATTTAAAATACATATTAAGGGCTGGGGATGCGGCTCAAGCGGTAGTGCGCTCCTCTGGCATGCGTGCGGCCAGGGTTCGAATCTCAGCACCACATACAAAGATGTTGTGTCCGCTGAAAACTAAAAAAAAAAAAAAAAGAATACTTTAAATTTACAATTGGCTTACCAGGCTATAACCCTATTGAAAGTCAAGAAGCATCTGCATTTGAGATAATGTATCCCTCCAGAAATTTTTACAAATAAATCGGAAAGGCTTTGCACTATCCTTAAGTACTTTAAAAATAAATAAATAAAATAAAAATACATATTAAAAGGAAGTAAAATCCCTCTCTGGTCCTATGGGAATTTAAATCAGAGCTTCAAGGAACACAGAACATGCTAACTTGGCATGCAGGAACCAGTGCACAATAATCTTGGTCTAAGACTATTCAAAATGGTTTCCCTCAAAATGCATTTGTACCAGTTCCGAACCTCTTGGCCATTAGAAAACATATTGATAATGAAATATGTGATGAAGCAAACTAAGTTGGGCTTTCACTTTGGCTAGGTATAATCCAACCAGCAAATTACTGAATCAAGCCTGTTTTCTAGCAGTCATAACCAGAATCTCCTTGTACATCTCAAGTCCTAAACTTGGTCTGTTTTGTTCTTTCCCAACAGAAAAACTTACCTCTTCCAATTGTCACCATTGACATACCAAAACCAAACAAAGTTGCCTTCATTTAGACAGCTGAAAGAACAAATGATTAACTTTTTATTGGCTGTAGATTTTTAAAAAATTTTTCCCTTGAAATGCTTGTGTTATCTGATCATTCTCTAGACAAGGACATCCTATTATTATATTGAACGTGGAGCTACTCTTTGTTTCTTCTCTCTGTGCCTGTATATTAATGATATGTCTAATAGACCTTGAAAGTTATAGAAAAGGATTGTAAGGGTAATTTTAGTTCCCAAATGCCTGACATATGGTGACATACTCAACTGATATCAAAGGCAAACAGATTTTTTTGAATAAGGTCAGTAAATGAATATCATGTGGACAGTTAGAATAGCAAACAAACACATACCAGTGGTAAGCTCAAACCAGGTTTGGATATTTTATGTCAGGTACTCCTGGATTACTTGTACAGTGAATAGAGATTTCTAAATCATTTCAGTTTGGAGTGGAAGCAAGAGCAGAAGTACCCTGCCATATAGTTAGAAGGCTAGAAAAAACCCTTAGAACATACACTGACCCTGGAAATGTAAAAGCCAAGCCTAGTAGCACATGCCACTGTGGACAATTAGAAATTTGAGGATAGCCTGGGCAACTTAGACCCTGTCTCAAAATATAATAAGAAAGGGCTGGGGATGTACCTCAGTGGTGGAGGTAAAGTGCCCCTGGACTTAATCTTTCCAATACTGCAACAAACAAATACCCCCCCAAAAAAAAATTTTTAAAAACCCTCTTCATCTGCAATGAAGTCTACATTTCCAACCTATTAAAACAAACAAACAAACACGCAAAAACTTTAACAACTGGAGCAGTTATCTCTATATCAAACAACCAAAAATGTTTCTGCCTGGAGTGGAATACAGATATTTTCAGCAGAGGCATTTGGAAATTCTATTTAGAAGGTCAGGCATAATTGTAAGGTGAATTATTTGGTTTGGTACTGGGGCCTGGGGTACCTTATCACTGAACTACACCCCTAGAACTTTTTATTTTTTTAAATTTTGAGATAGGGTCTAAGTTGCAGAGGGCCTTGCTAAGTTGCCCAGGCTGGCCTCGAACTTGTGATCTTCCTGCCTGAGTTGCTGGAATTACAGGCATTCACCACTGCGCCCAGCAGAATTAATAAATGTTGAATACAATAAACCATAAAAACCACCACTGGATTTTTGCATTTGTAAAGCAAACATCTCATTTGGAAGGCACACATTAATATCTCTTGCCAAGTTGCTTGCAGTTTTCTAGAAAAATTTGTCTTCCTTCAGAGGATCAAAGTCCAAACTTGGCCCAACATTACCACCTAGTGGTGATATATTCATAGCTTGTCTCTTCAACTAAAATGGGTTCGTTCCAAATTACTAGTCTGAAAAACTGTAACAATCTAAATAAATAATGGAAAAGAAACATGAAAAGTTAAAATGTAAATTAAAATCTTTATTGAATAAAAATGTTTCAGACTATGAAAGATGGTAAGAAAGCAGATTATTTTACATCTCTAAAAAATATTAGAGCTAAATCTCTATAAATGCAGTAAAAAGAAAAGGCTATATCTTTAAAACACCTTTAACTCTCATACATACAATTTGGAATATCAATTATGTACAACAAATCTTGTAAAGTTTATAATGTTCTAAAGCCTTAATACTAAAGAAAACCATCCCAAGAAAAAGGCCTAGGGTTGGTTTAATTCAACCTGGGAATATTGTCTGCAATAAAAATCAATGCACTTCAGAGCTGATAAGTATTAAAAAATTATTGCCTCAGAAAGGGGATATCACAAGTGAAATACAGGTTTTGGAGGTCTGAGCTCATGTCATTTAAGGCGGTTCTTTCTGTTATTCTTCTTCCTTTTGCATGGTGAACAGTGATCAACAGTTCTCACAAAAAAGATGCAGTTTTCAGTGAATTGTGAGAAACACAGACACCACCAGGAAAAAAAAAAAAAGCAATCACTTGGGATGTAATCAAACTCATTGGCAAATACATAGCTTATTTGGAGACAGTGGATCTCTCCAGGCACCAAAGCATGTAGGTTGGTTCTTTATTAGTCTCAAAAGGTGCTCTGAAAAGATGGCTGTATTGTACCTCAATAATTCAATTCCAGATTTAGAGCAAGATGTAAAGCAAAAAATTCCCCACATATATATGAGAATAAGAAAATTAACCTAATTTAAAAAAAAGACTAAATGTTTGATCTCTTAATAGTAGATACTAAAAAATTGATAATTGTTAAAAATATACAACTACGCCCTTTATGCTAAAGTGCATTTAATCATAACATGTCAGTCCCTAAATTCCTTCTGTATATTCTCTAATTCCACAATAGGATTTGTAGTGTAAAATGTATACTAATCATCCATTTACTTTAATATTGCCATTTGGTAATACAATGGAATTTGGACTAGATCACTTGGAATATTTCCCTGCTTATAAGCATTTATGCATTTTGTCACTATTAAAATGAAAGATTTAAGTAATGTTATTTCTAGTGTTTATAACTGGTTCACTTAAGCAGTAGTATGGGATTTTTTTTTTTTTGGTAGCAGAAATTCATTTCCAAAGTTGCTTTAACATAAATGTCATTTCATAATCCAATACCTGTTTCTGTGCATCACTTTGATAAAGGGCAGTGGCTCACTAACACTAACATGAATTTAAGGCCTAACACCAATGCAATTTGTCATTCTTCATCCTCAACCTCATCTTCATCCTCATCGTAGTACCGATTTCTCTTTATCTGTTCTTCCACAGACAGCTCTTGCACTTCTTCTCCCTCCCAGAATTCCACATCCTGGAATTTCTGATTCTGAGTAGCAAATTCTTTAGTGGAGGTGTCATCTACAAAGCTGGACCTATTTGGAGACTTGGATTCTGGTGGAGACTGGTGTTTGAGGAGGTTGTTGTCATCTTCATCTATGTTTGCACCATTTTCTATGAGATTCTCACTCCCCATCTCAAAACTATTAATTTCCTTTCTTCTCTCTGCCTCTTCTCCTTTAGATTCCTTGTTTTGCCAGGCCATTTTTCCCACATTCCCATTCTTCTCTGAGACCCAGGCATTTTCCACTTGTTTCCTTTCTGGTACTATCTCTCCTGCAAACTCCTCGCTCTGCTCAGACATGCTCCAACCTTTCCTGATAGGTGGGGACAAAGCTTTTGGGCTCTTGACAGAAGATGTTCGAAATGAAGCTGCAACAGTGAATGGGCGGCTTCTTTCCTTCAATGAAGAAGATCTCCTCAGCTTCTTCAGATCCAGATCTACATCCTCAGGAGTTTCGGGCTTGCTGATTTCATCCTCTGGAGGCCATTTGGGCTTAGACACTTTGATCCCTTCCTCCAAGGCACTTCCTGAACTGCCAAGTTCAGATGGGGGTGGCCAGGCGATTCTCAACTTCTTGGTTTCAGCTGGCTTGTCTTCCTTTTCTCGCTGAGAGGAGGCCTTGGCTTCCATACTTGCAGCCAGCACACCCACCTTTGCAATGGGGGCATCTTCTACTCCTGAGCTCTGAGGGGTCTCCCCTGCATTCAGAAGCTGGTTTGATCTCTCCAAAGTCTCTTCATTTTCATTTTTGCTTGCCCATAGATCCTTGTGTGGTCTGTGCCCAAAGCCTTCATCATAGTTACCTTTAGATTTAAAGAGTTGGTTGAAGTGAGGTTTACAATAGATTCTCCCATGCAGAGATGCATATGTTCCTAGACTGTCATCAAAAGAAAAAGAACATAAAGTTAGAAAATCTTCATACTCTCATTTACACCTGCAGGCTAATAACAGGCATTTCCAGTATTTATTTACACTAAATGAGAAATTTATTTGAAAGTTCATCAATGACTTAGGATTCCCTACTCCATTTAAAACATATTAGCAATTCTTCTTTTTAAAATCCTTATACAAATGTGCTTACTTTCAAGATTAAACCTTCACAAGTCATTCTTCCACTTAGCATGAGTTCCCCATTTTCAAATGATTTCACTCTCCTCTGTGAAAATTTTTAAAAATTACTTCTTCCAGGAAATATTCCCTAGGTAATCATACCTAGCTCTGATCACTCATATTGCTTAGATATTTATAATCTATTAACTATTTACAATGATATTTCTTTGTAAAAAGCTGAATCTTTTTTGTGTTGTAATTTAAAAACTTAATTCTACAAGAATGATTACAATGCTCTGAAAACAGCTGGCACTCAATAGCTACTCCTGACTGAATAAATGTAAGATATGGTTAATAAGAGAACAGTGAGCAGTAGCCAGGAGGAAGGTCTTACCCAATGTTAGTGCTGGATAAGTCTTTAGATATGATCTCTTGCAGGATAATATATTTTATTTTTATTTTGTTATGGCACTGGGAATTGAACCCAGGCTCTCAAACATGCTAGGCAAGTGCTCTACTACTGAGCTATATCCCCAATCCTGAACTCAGGGACACTCGACCACTGAGCCACATCCCTAGTCCTATTTTGTATTTTATTTAGAGACAGGGTCTCACTTAGTTGCCTAGCACCTCCCCATTGCTGAGGCTGGCTTTGAACTCTTGATTCTCCTGTTTCAACCTCCCAAACTGCTGGAATTACAGGTGTGCTCCATGGCATCTGGCCTACATACAGATTTATTTATTTTTTGAGATAACCTTTTTCTAAATTGTCCAGACTGGCCTCCAACTTGTGATCCTACTGCCTCAGCCTCCCAAGGACTATAGATGTGCTCCACTATACCTGGCTCAGAGTAACATTCCCCCGCTCCCCCCCACTACTGGTGATGGAACCCAAAGGTATTTTTACCCTGAGCTACATCCTTAGCCCTTTTTATTTTTTATTTTGAGACAGAGTCTCTGTAAGTTGCTTAGAGTTTGCTAATGTATGTTGCCATACCTGGATCAGTATTTTTTAGGGTATATTTTAGTATATGTTATTTTTTTAATTGTAGATTGACATAATACCTTTATTTATTTTTATGCCTCATGCTTGCTAAGTACATGTTCTACCACTGAGCTACATCCCCCAGCCCATATCTTAGTATATATTAAAGGGTTATAAAGGTGACAACTTTCCCCCTTCTCCAAGTAATGTGTTTTGAGAAAAAAATTAATTATGTGTGCAAAAAAAGAACTAATGCATAAAAATCTGTCAGATTTTGGCTCAATATAAGGGAAAGTTGTCTAGCTAGAGCTAACAATGGAACTAGCTGCGGTTAGGCATCTACCCCCTATAAATGTCATGCAGAAGGCAGGAGATCTTTCAAGAGTATTTTAGAAGGGATGCTTGCTCTGGAAGGAAAACTGGAGAAAGTAGCATCTTATAACTTCCTTCTCTAGGTCTGGATGATTAAAATAATTTAATGTGGACTAATACCCCAATCTGTCATATTTATGTCTTTGAGTTACTTAGAAGAATTATACATAATAATTATTTTCTCAGAAAATAAATAAAATGAAGCAACATGGAAAAATATACATGCTCATCAGGGGCTCTTTTTATTGCTATTTATTTACACAGTGCTTAGTACACTTTGAAGTAAGAGCTCAGGTAGGTAACATCTTGGGATTTGTTAACTTTATGATTCTATGACACCAAGGGAAAAAAATCCGCTAAATTAGGTCTTAATATGTAAAGGAACATATCAATGTATAATAGCCAGGAATGGTGGTGCATGGCTGTAATCCCAGTGGCTCAGGAGACTAAGGCAGGAGGATCACAAGTTCAAAGCCAGCCTCAGCAATTTAGCAAGGCCCTAAGCAACTTATAAAATGATGAAAATAATAAAAAATAAAAAGAACTTGGAATTATGTGGCTTAGTGGTTAAATGCCCCAAATATCATTATCATTTTATATGAAATACTTGTCGATAAGCAGGTATCTTTACTTTATTCAGGAGCCTTCAATACAATATCATCATCACAGTAGATTTTAATACCAATGATCCAAAAGCCAAAGATTGCCTCTGAAGCTCCAACTATACATAGAGAAGGACTGTCTTGGTCTGGCTTACCTAAGTTTGTTGTTGCAGTAAGAACAACGGAAGCAGCTGATGTGAAACACCTGCTGATTGGCCAAGAGACGCTCCATTGGGTAGACTGTTTTCTGACATTCCACGCAGGTCTCTCTTGCAGGTGCCTGAAACTTCTAGAAAAAGGAAAAGGACAACTTTAACTAGCATAGGCAGTGATGAGTTAGTACTCTGCTGAGATGGGCCTGGGATTTTCTTTATGTAGTAATTGGCTAGTCAGTCAATTCTCATAGGAATACTAAACTTATTTCTAATTCCATCAGCTGACTCTTCAAAGCCAAGAATCTCTCCTGAATTCCTTTCCCAAATTATCTGTCCTAAGTGTAGCAGCCTTTGAGGACAGATAGATGGGCTTGGGCTGGACTTCAGAGAAGGGCACACAAAAGCCACCGCACACAAAAATTGCACACCAAATCACCAAATGTTAAGGGCAGGGGAGTAGGGGGAGGCGGGGCAGGGATCAGAAGACAATGTCATCACAGCCCAGAAGAAAGAAGTTTATTCGAGTGCCAAGTAAAAGCAGTACAAACTATAATAAGAACAAATTCTGAAGGGGATAACTTTCATGGAGAGGAAGAACATTTGGCTTTGAGAATTAGGTAAAAACATTTCAATTTCAGTAAAGCACCTTTTATTCCCCTTTGCTTATAATCTTAATTTGTGCTGGATGCAGTGACATACACCTATAATCCTAGTAATTTGGGAAACTGAGTCAAGAGGGTTGCAAGTTCGAGACCAGCCTCTGCAATTCAGTAAGAGCCTAAGCAACTTAGTGAGATCCTGTCTCAAAATAAAAAATTAAAAAAGGCTAGGAACTTAGAGGTAAAACACCTCTGGGTTCAATCCCCAATATAAACAAACAAAACACCTGACATATAAAGATACACAAACCATTTTATTATTTTATTAGGCTTCAATAAGGAAGTATTTCCCAATCAGGTTATAGATTCTATAATACTTCTTTTGTTCTTTTGTCTTCTTCTTCTTCTTCTTCTTTTTTTTTTTTTTGGTATTGGGGATTGAATTCAGGGGCACTTAAACATTGAGCCACATCCCCAGCCCTTAAAAAAAAACAAAAAAACTTTTTTGTTGTTGTTGTATTCTGACAATTT